CTCGAAGACGATCCTTTTACTCGAAAATTTGTTGGCCTCTTACGACTCCCTGCTGCCCCCCCCCCAACCCTATCCACCACGCTCGCTACTCGCTCACATATGTATGCACGCACACGGACACACGCTCTCTCTCTCTCTCTCTCTCTCTCTCTCTCTCTCTTTCTCTCCCCTCGCAGACGGTAATTCGCCACTGAGGAGCGCCGTCTGTCTAGACAGTCGCGCGAATCTTTCCAGATGCACACCGACTCTCCTTATTTTTTTTACCCTCCTATTTCCGTCCTTGGAGGATGGCAACGACGGCTGTGGGAATCCGATTTTTATCGATTTTTAAGCGTCTAGAGTGGGGAAGTTAAACTACTAAGGCGACCCGATCGATGATTATGAGCTGCGTGGGCGCTTTGGTGCCAAGGCGTGAGTGGCATTTTCGGGAAGCCGAATCAGGATTCTCTCGTTTCCGTGTTACGTACGTACGTACGTCCGGGCTTCAACGATTCCTCAGTCTATTTCGAGAACGATAAAATAATTTACAGATGTTGGAGTTGTGCGGTGTCTTGTAGCAGCCCCGTGAAGAGCGAAAAAATTGACAGTCCTCGAGAGGAGCGATATCGTGTAATCGGTTAACGAACGCGTTAACTCAAGAATCATCATCGACTTTGAAATAAGCTTCGATAATACATAATGGCAGCGACCTTATGGAATATATAATTCCAGCTCGCGAAAAGCCATAATCCCTACTTCTTGTCTATGTCCTGCGCGGCTTTCTATTCGACCGAGCGAAATGTGACGTAAAGTAATTCCTCGCCGCCTGGAACGAGCTCTCGGGCCTGGATTCTGTCGGGGTCGAGAACTCGGAGATATAATATCCTATCGTAGAATCTATCTTTGTCCGTGCGCTCCAACAACGACACCGAGCCACTCCGGGGCTTGAATCACTCGCGCCGAGTCTATCGCTCAGCTCCCATAGCCCATTGCGTCGTGTTTAAGGTCAATGACTGTAACCGTTGCGCTGTAGCGGCACAACAGCCTCGCTACGACTGTTCGCGCGCGCGCGCGCGCGCGCACGCCCGCGCAGACACGCACACACGCACGCAAAACCACCACCATCATCAGCATCACCACCGTTAAAGCGTCGTCAGCGAGGGAGTATCAAGAGAGCGGTGCTGGGGGATTTGCCGGCGAGAGGGGGTGGGAGGTTCATGGGAAGGGATTACGGCTAGGGTGATGGTGAAGCGTTGGGGGGGGGGAGAAGGAAATTTGAAAGTCGGAGAAAGTGGCAGCGCTGCACTGGCTGCTTCACGTGGCTAGTAAAAGACCCAACTTGCGGATAGTAAGAAAACGCAGACTCGCTGCTGACGCTCTATAGTTTCTATTTCTACTACGCCGCACTAGCATGCCACCGAAGAAGAGGTAGGGAGAGGTAGAGTGGTAATGATGTAGAGAGGTGGAGAGAGAGAGAGAGAGAGAGAGAAAGAGAGTAGACCGTTACAATATCGCCGCGAGTATGCAGTAGTTGTATTCTTTGCCGTTACGCTGCTTCCTCGTCGCCCCTCTCGGTCTTCCTCTCGGCCGTCGTCGAGGCCTTTGGAAACGAAGGTGAAGAGCCGGGGATTTGTTTTCAAGAAAGTGACACCTGCCGAAGAAAAGAAAAACGAAAAAAAAACGCACACGCGTAAGTGTGTGCAGAACCAAGCTAATATTAATATGCTCTGCTTTTATCGCTGATTATGCTTGTCTCTCGGTGACTATGACGGTGACTTTTCTTTATCTCAGCGACTCGGACGTTTTAAACGGCTCTACTACCGCCCATTCACCGAGAATACCTTTGTCTCGCTTTGTTTGTTTCTCGGCTTTGTTGTTGGATCTTAGCTTTTTAGGAACTATCTTCTATCCAAGATAAATCGTCACAATGATCGATTAAGAACACAATGTAGCAAGCGATAGCATTGTACGCTCTTTGTTTTTACATATTCGTCATTCCCAGAGCAGTAAACATATGGCTCAAATCCTCATCGCTAATCAAGATGAATATTTTTATATTTAGAGTATTTTTAGGCTTCTCGTATATTTTTCCGTGTTTAAATAACATTATTTATTGATAATGAAGATAACAAAGATGGCGGTTTGGATAAGCGACACTTAAACACTTGCTTCGTTTTCACTGTGGTAGTGAACGACGAATGCATAATAAATTAATTTCATACTCTTATTCATTGGCTCAGATTATTTTGCAAAACAATTTTTCTTTACGACCTCGTATCTGTCGTTCGCTGTTTGCATATGATAATCGCGCATGAAGCGCCCATTTGGCACAATATCTCCCAACGCATCTCGGCAATAATTAATTGGCCGACCGGTTTATCAATTAGCTCGATTGGAAATTATCGTGGCGTTCAATGGCCGACATACGGCCGGTGAAACAAGTGTAAAGACTCGCACGAGTAAAAGCGCCTCCCGCGTCCACGCCATACTTTTCAACACAAAATGAATATTCCATGCGTACGGCGTCTCGTAAAGTCAATTTTACTGGTTAACTATAAAAACCGTGCCGGCCGCGCATCCATCTCGCGTCATAATTTACTTTCTCCTTCTGGCTACAGAGGCGCGTTAATAATTTGCGAGAGACATGATCGTGTGCAGCCTGGCTGTCAGTATCAACGAATCCCATTCACCGCGCGCGTTCCTACCTGCAACGCCGAGTACATTTCTCAACTTTGTGGGCTCCCGTGAGCCACGCTCCTTCCCCCGCACCCTCGAGCATCGCAGCTTACCAGCTTACCACCAATAATTCCCCGACCCGTCCCATCGAGCGAGCACGCTAACCTAGCCGGCCGGATCAATTGGACGCCATTTTCGAGCGTTTGGTGATCAACGAATGTCGGTATGGTGTGTGCACCGTGTCCGCGCGATCCAACATTTTAATGTAAATGAAAGTAATCGAGGACCGGCCAAAGACTAGCTAGCTACCTCCTGCCGGATAATTATACAGGCGTTTGTGTGCGGCGCGGACTTCTGTTGTAACTCGTCGAAGGAACCTAAGCGCGTTCTCTCTCTGTACTTTCGTTTTTCCCTTCCATTGCCGTGGCGTGAGTCGACTTGCAACACACCATTGCGCTGATTATCGAATTATGTAGCTTTAGATGTAGAGCCGAGCGCTCGTTGACGAGCGCGAATAGCGATACACTATCACCAGTAGATTGATGGATAGATAGATAAAGAGAGCGGGGATGGCAAGTCGCGGTGGCGGAAGGGGGATGGATGGGATAGATTGATAGCGTGAGGGGGAGAGAGAGGGAGGCAGCTGTGCCCTTTCGATCCAAAGGGCGCGCGCGACTCTTGAGAAAGTCCGAGGAACCTGGAGATTGCCTCCGTAACTTTTCCGATGATGTCTAGTGTAATGGGACTCATTTGTAACGCTGATCCGTCTTAAGGTAGTTGCAGTCGACTTTACGTAACTTTACGGTATCTCGTCAATGCTGTAAGATCTCCCTCTTTCTCCTTTATCCGTTCTTTGCTCGGTAGTGTGACGCGACCGATGCTCACTCGATGCTATTGAATAAAATCGATAAGCTTTAGGGCTGGACCCGAAAGCCCATTGATTTCTGTCACTTTTTGTACGTTGCGCAATATCCACATTACTCGTTGTACTTGGAATCGCCTTCTGGCTTGCGCGAATGTGAAAGCTTGTCGGGCGCGAGGACGCTTACCCGTAACGAGAGTATCCTTCTGCTTGTGCTATTGTCGATAAAAGAGAATCTGCCGGTTGTTTAAGAGCGTAAGAGAGCCTCTGTCGGTCGTAGTTACGGAACAGGATCCCAAGATCGCGATGACCCCATTGGTTTGTCAATTCCCCAATGTCGTCGCTCGTTCACTCGCTCCTACGAGAAATGATTCCCAGTCGATTACGGTCTGAGAGATAGAGTGAGGGATAGAGTGAGAGATAGAGTGAGAGATAGAGTGAGAGAGAGTGAGAGAGAGTGTGTGTGTGTGAGAGAGAGAGAGAGATAGAGAGAGAGAAAGACTGAGTGAGTGAGCGAGTGAGGGAGTGAGTGAGGGCGGGAAGGAGGGAGAAGGAGCACGCGCTAAGCATTTGGGGATTTTCCCTTCGATATTTTTTAGCGCGAACACTGTCTGGAATTCAGCGGAGCTCCATTCGAAGTGACAAAATCGCGCGCTCGCTACTCGTTTCACGTCTGTTTCACCAATTCTCACATTATTCTCTCCTTCCATAAAGTCTCAGGCCAAATTCATAAACAAGCCGCAGGCCTCGAATTTCTCACACTCTTACCCGTAGCGAGCGTTACCTCCGCGGCAGTCTTCAGCTCGTAATTCCGATGCGACTCGTAACCGCTCCGCTTCGCTAATCATTCCTATTCCACGGTCGATATTTCCCTGAATCGCGCTACTTCGCCGTCTTCTAGTTTCGTCGAAAATAGAAATCCTCGCTTCTTAAGCTGGAGAGCGAGTGCAATGCCTACTCCCGAGGCAAGCAAACGCCGCTCTCGCCTTTATTGCACTGGTTCGTAGCGATAAGCCAAAAAGGGGCGAACGCGTAAGCAAAGGTTGAGTGCATTCCCGTTAGTCCAGCGAATAGCGGTTTCGCGAGTAGGTAGAGTATTTGCCGGCCCGTTTACGTTGTGTAAAGGGCAAGGATGGGAACGCGAGATCACCGGCGGCTGCCGCTGGTAGCCATCCGTCTCCTGGGAAAAAGCAGATGATCCGGGATGAACCACGGGCCCAGGTATACATATCTGAAAGTGGAAAGCGCGCGTAGGCGTTGCACGAGATATAGTGGGAAAGCCGGCATCGAGACGAGGGCCGAGGCATGCATGTGTCGCGGGTTCGGTGACGTATAGTCGTCCTCGGCTCCGCTCGAAGTCTTCTAGCCGCCCGTAACGGCGGCGCGCCATTATCGCATCGGTACCGAGTCCCGAGGTCGTCTAGCGGAAGCGTCTAATCCAATGAAATCATCGCTGACCGTCTGACATTTGCGTCTGTTGCAGGGTACGATGAGCCTGACGAAGCGCATCGACGAGGTGAGGCTACTGGAGTCGCGTAAGAGCGCGCGACTCGCGGATTCCGACACGGACTTTGCCAGACTAGCGGACATGGGCAGCGACAGGAAGCGTGCTTCCTCGCACTCCATCGACGTGCCACAAGTCATCGGGTGAGTACATCACTTTTGCTACATTTTTCCGTTCAGGCTCGCAATCGGTAGGGGAAGATGGGAGACTGAAGTTCCGGGGACAAA